TGGGTTTAGTTCAGTAACCAAAACCCATCAATTTTTAAAAAATTAACCATCTTTATTAATTATTGAATTATTTATCTGGGCAAGTATATTTTAATGCTCAGTGTTTAATTTTATATAGACACAGGATTTCGATTACTTTAAATGAGACAATTTAAATGCAATAGATACTTAACCAATTTAATCTAATTTCAGCTGTAGATAATTAAGAGATTTTAACAACCATCAGATAACGACCTGACGAAAGAGTTACATTTGGTCAGATAAAAACAAAATGTGTTTTCGTGGCAGTCTTGATAGTTATAATGAATTGTTTCTATCAAAAATGTGTTTAATTAATTTTTTTAACTGCTTTTCCACATGTTACTACTTAAATACGTCAATAGTTAATAAAAAAAAATCATATCCCAGCTTGTGTAAAAAGTCAATTTTTTTTACATTATTTTATCTTTTGAAAAACACTTAATTTCAAACTTCTTTAAAAACGAAGAAATGAAAGTTTATCTCCGAAAATAAGTTTTGAAGAGAAACCTGAAATTTGTTTTTGAAACTACTCTATTGGGTTTTCCGTTTTCATTAAAAAATATTTAGTAGCATATTCACCCTGTATATATGACACTGTCTAGGTCAGGTACGAATTAATGAATATTCCACTATTTAAGAAATAAGTTGACTTAGCTCGGTAATAAGTTCCAAAATCTAAGTTTTATTATTCATTCTGTTAAAGCAAAACACTATTCCGAACAAAAATTATGTATATCCTTATAAATAGGTGAGCGGGTTCAACTATAAACTCATGACAAAACTATTTACCTGCATTATGCTGAGTTGAGAAATTTGTTATTGTTCCGTACACATTATGCACTTTGGCAGAATTATTTCTTCAGAAGTGCCGAAAGGTTTCCTGGCGAATGACATTATTCAACTCGCAAAAAAAATTTGCGAAATGGTGTCGGCGAAAACAGTGCATTCTGGCGATAAAAACCGGGAAAAATTGTCAAATTTTAAAGAACCTGAAGGAATGACAACCGTCGATCTAAGTGACAGCAACTACAAGGAAGAAAGTATGTATATAGTTAGGTTCTACTTTTTAAAGAATAAAATTCACGAATCAAAAAAGTTATACTTACTCATATACTGCACCTATACTTTCCCGATATGTGATATTCAGCAATCGAAACTGTATTTTGGCGCAATATATATATATATATATATATATATATATATATATATATATATATATATATATATATATATATATATATATATATATATATATATATATATATATATATATATATATATATATATATATATATATATATATATATATATATATATATAAATTGAATTTTAAGTTTTTGCTCCTTAAAAAAAAATATACTTGAACGTGTTTCTCCAAACTGATTGCGTCAAATATACACAACGCGGCAAAATACCAGGTACTATATGAACGCAGATGTATAGAGTGACACGATTATGTGGCACTACTCTCAGGAAACACTTTATTTCATGACATTGAAGAAAAAATTAAATACAAATTTATTTGGGTTAATTCAGACATTTAATTTATTATATCTTCATTGATACATATTGATTCGTTGCGCTGTGACCACTACCAACTTTTTTATTTTAAATTGAACACTATATCTATTAATACTAAATTGAAGGAGTTGAGCAATATATACCAATATGGTATCTAAACTCAACATTTTGGCATTTCAATCATGTTTCAAATTCTGTCTACAGCCATACATCGCGCATCATCATTTTTTTTAACGTTTTGTAGTGCAAGCAGTGTATCTAAATGAAGTATTGCATTTCGAACAAACTCAATTTCATTTAGATACTGTATACCTTCCCGTATTTGGTCTCTGAATTCCTGGATAGTGGATGGTTTATTTTTATACACTAGCTCTTTAAGAGTGAACTAAAAAAGTCCAGTGGAGCTAGGTCTGGGCTTCTTCGCAGCCAAAAATAATTATCGTGATTACCTATCCATTTTCTTTACTATGTATTTAGATAGTTCTGTATGGCAGCCCTCTAGTGGTAAGGATCACCATCATGCCAAAAATTAAATTAAACTGGTAAGGTTCAGTATTGCACAGCAATTTAAATTACTTTCAGAAAACACCTTTACTAAAATTCTACACGAATTATTAATTTCAATCGCCATTTTCTTTGTTTTCGCGGTTCCAGTAATGTACACTTTGTAAAAACTGATTTGATAATCCAAATAATGTCATAAAAAATATTTTCTTGGAAGTTACTATCCATAAAAATATTGCAGTGCTCTATCCTGACATTAAAATTCTGCCAAGTTTTTGCACAGATAGGATTTCAATTTATTAATCAATTAATTAAAAAAGGCGCTTGCCGGATAGATGTTTCAGAACTGTTTCCAAAGTGAAAAGGAATATCTAGTTGCTTTTCTTCACTAAATATGTCACGAACCATTCTCTTTTTGTATTGCAGGCGTCTCTCACTCCTAAACTGTAAAATGTTTTTTTCACTGGATTTTGCCTCAATGGAAATTTGTTCAGATTGTTTCTAACAGTTCAACTTTTATTACTTAGTTAATAACAGTCTATAATAACAATTTTCTCTACCATAGTAAACTATATAAACAAAAACAAGTAATAAAGAAAACTAATTCGTGTTTTAAATATTCTACAATTCTATAAGATGTTACAAAATTTGGTGCAGTTATTTTAAGTGTATATTCGTGAGCCAATTTAATTTGGAAAATAGGTTTCGTACTGAAGATGATGACTAATAATTCAGAAACGGTGATTTGTAGACCGTTCTTATTATTCATCGTTGAAGTCGCCATCCAGTGATCTATCAGACTTACCATAACACACGGAGGGTTGGCCTTTGAAAAAAAATGAAAAACTAATGATGCTCAAAGTTTTGCCAAGTAAACGATAAGAATATCGTCTTTTATACTGAAAGAGAATTTTAAACAAGATTGACATTTCTTAGATAAATCAGTTTAAATATCCAGAAAATAAATATATCATTGAACTATCTAACAAAGATTTTTTTAAATCAGTATTAATTTATGGAGTGTTCTATTTGATATTATAAAGTTAATGTGGTGACGGCGAAAAGGGTTAAAATATAATATAATAATATAATAAATGAAAAGTCCAAAGCAACGTTTCTATTTAATTTTTTGTTAAATCCCTTTTAGTTCGTGAGGTAATGGTGTCTGAAATAAAGTTCGCCACTCACTTAACTCAGATATTAGAAGAAATGCATAGTTGCATCCAGATTTTTTTAGTTTATAATCTGCGGTAAATATCAGCTTTGTTTTTTTAAACAGGACACCCTGCTCCACGGAAATTAAGAGAAATGATGTGATAAATGATGAATGACTATGAATTTTATGACAAAAATGACGTTTCCAGTCCTTAAATAATGAACTATCTTCTTCTAAGGCGGCCTTAATTAGTTAATTATTATCATATATTGAGTGGATATTTTGGATGATAATGAATACAGGGTCAGCGAAAGTGAACTAATAAAATTAAATTAAAAAAACTTAAAAAGTTTTTTTTTAAAACGGAAACCTCCTATTTTTATAATTTTGTTCTAGTAAAATAATTGACTGTTTAATGTTAATACTATGAACGGGTGAACGGAACACCCTGTTTTATTAATTAAAGATTCATAAATGCAGATGAAACTATGCAACTTCTCTATTTCTACATATTTACATATCTATATTTATCATTCCTAGTTTCTAAGTTAAGTGGGTAGGAACCCTTATTCCGGACAGCCTGATAGGGAACCTAGTTGAACTGTTATATGAAAATTACAGGTATCAAACATTGGAAAATGTGGAATTAAACCAATATTGATGCGGGCAAGGTAGAGTCGACGTTCAAATTTTAATGGAATAACCCTTTTTTGGATTTTCCGCAAAAGTCCGGACATATTCCTTGTATACATATTTCCCTGTATTTCATATACCAAAATTTCACCGTTTCTCAAAATAGTTAACATTTTATGTCACAAATTGCGATTGTACATGGAACAATATCTGCAAATTTTTACATGTAATCAATCCTCTCAAACTTTTCTATATTTACTTAACCTGTATAATTAGTTTATTGGTCAGTGTAAAATTTGGTCACTGTAAAAATTGGTAATTTCGATTATTAATAGTATAAAATTAATTTAATTAAATAAAATGAAATCTAAAAAATCGATTTTTTCAAATGCAATTTTTCAATTGTATTTTTTTTTACTTACAAACAAATAATCTCAATTCACTTAACTCACTCACCCACTTAACTCAGATATTATAAATGATAAAAAGAGTGCATAATTTCATCTAGATTTTATTTCTTATTTACACATGGAGTTGTAAATAGCAGTAAAGTCTCAACATCTATTGTTTTTTTTATTTTGCTATTTTTAAAATTTTAATTATTTTCGGGTAAAAAAAAAATGCTTTTGAAGTGAATAAGGTGAAATTCATTCGTTTATTTATTTAGGTATTTGTTTATCCATTTCCATCCTCATCTAGAAACTTTGTAAATAATATTAAGAAATTCTCTGCTCCAGTGTCGTGCTAATAAAAATTGAATTGAAGCTATGTTTTGTTCGGAAACAAAAAGAATATAATTTTTTCTCGAAAACCGCTGAAAAGAACATATAATATTAAAAAACCATCAACCATTAGGGGATCGAAAATGCAATAATATGCAAATTTTAATGTTGATACTACTTTTTATTTCATTTTGCATTTTATATCAATAGAGTATCACAGTTTATGAAACTATCTAAATTTCAGAAAAATTCAATATACCGTTCGCCATCAACCGCAAAACACCCTATATACTTAGAATCAGTAATTGTTACCAATTTGGCTAGAATGTACACTCCCGTATTAATTACCTATGGATAGAGAGATAAACTTTGTTAATTAGTTAATTAGTTTGAAAAAGGTACCGAAAACATTCAATTGTTTTAATTACATTAATTTTTCACAGAAACAACCACACTGTCAAAGTTGCGTTCGCAACGGCACTACCTACGAAGATTACTCACCTTTTTGGGATGGATATTTTCTGCCGTTTTGTTATTTATGGCGCTGGCCTTTCTGCATAGAGGTAAGATTGCTGCAGTAATAATTTATTCAGCTTATTACCATTAACTGGTGGTAAACTCACTAAGAGTTGAAATTGGACCAAATCGTCAAATGGGGTGTTCTGGTAACACCTTTACCATAACATGACAAATTACAGAACGTATATCAAATTGAAAGCTAGAGTCTTAACGTCCACCAAAAGCCTGTCTCGTGGATTTTAAGAACATATTTTTGTTGGATTATGGAATGCTAGTTGCAGATTATCATCAAGTCAAAGTTTGTTAGCTAAAACTGAGACGGACGTAATCATAATATGTTGTGTTTTAGCAATTTTATTATATTTAATTGTTTTTGAAAACTGCTATTTGGTGACCGTTACTATCCAAAAACAAAATTAAATGTAATTTTGGTTAAACCTTAACTTACTAACCAAACAATCTTTATCATGTCATTATTATTATTATTATTAACGGCTCGTAGTAAATACAGTGTATGCGAAATTCGTTATCATTCGTTATATCTGAAATGAAAGATGTGAATAACAGGTCGATTTTGAAAATATCGTGATTTGAGACACCCCTCACATCTCCGTTAATATTTAAGCCATCGAAGGAATCAAAATAGGTCTATAACGATATTCTTACGTAGAATCCAATAGAGTAAATAGTTTTATAAGATTTTTTATTTTTTGGAATTAATATATAAAATTGCATATTTTCAAATGAGACACTCCAGTACAGTCCGGATTATCCGAAATAATGTGGGCCAAAATGATTTCGAATAATCGAAATTTCAGTAATTCTGATTTTTTTGAGAACACCGCAGTTTAGGATACATTTGAGTAAGATCACATCAAGTGGATCCCCCATTTACCACTTGATCATAAAAAAATAATCTATATATATTTTTTATAAGTACTTATGATGGAAAATGAATCCCTCAAACGATTTTTTAAAATTTTGATTTTAACAACATTTTTTTTAATAATAAAAATTTTAAGCACTTTTAATTAAAAAATGGATTAAAAATCAACCGTAATAGATAAATTTATGAAATTTTCAGCATCTATGGTCAAATGTCTATACTTTAAGAATATATTAACGACTTTAAATGATTTGTTTATTTTCGTATTGTTAACTAACTTTTAAGTTAACAAATGAAAATTTAACTGATTTCTTGGTAAAAAAATCATGTTTTTTTCATGGGTCACATGATTTACACATGTTATACTGCTTGTCATTAGATTAAACAAATTGGATTTATTTATGACAGCGCGCCGGGCGCCAAGCGTCTCGAACTGCATTCAAGGTTTTATCAATGATAATTTAAAATAATAATACAAAATATTATTATAAAACAAATTGTATTATTATTTATGTTATTTTATTGTAATTATTATTAATAAACTTTATTTTTTTTAACAATATTAAACAAGATTAAATAATTAAATTGTAAATTTGTCGTCATTTATTTTTTTATTTTTTTTAACTTATTTTTTTTTTTAAATAAATACTTTTTTATCCTCTGGATCGAGCCTGCATTCTAGTGAAAAATTTTCCAATCGTTTGTAGTAATGAAATTGGCGAGTATTTTTTATTGTAGTTAAGCGTTCAAATCGTTTTTTATATTTTTTTTAAAAGAACTTTGGGCCCACTGAAAATACGTAAGTGGGGTTGTTATGTGGTTGTTTTTATCACGTTAGAAACTAGCACAATAAGCTTGTCTTTTTACATTCCCTGCTAAGCCATCACATACATAACATAAATAATAATAAAATTTGTTTTATAATAATATTTTGTATTATTATTTTTAATTATCACTGATAAAACCTTCAATGTAGTTGGAGACGCTCGGCGCGCGGCGCGCTGTCATAAATAAATTCATTTTGTTTAAATTAATGACGAGCAGTGAAATTTTCTTCCAGAATCTTAAACTTAAATGGATAAAGCATGTGACCGATAAAAAAAACATGAATATTTTTTACCAAGAAATCAGTTAAAATTTCATTTGTGAACTTAAAAGTTAGTTAATAATACGAAAATTAACAAATAATTTTAAGTCGTTAATATATTCTTAAAGTATAGACATTTGACCATAGATGATGAAAATTTCATAAATTTATCTATTACGGTTGATTTTTAATCCATTTTTGTGCTTAAAATTTTCATTATAAAAAAGATGTAAAAATCAAAATTTTAAAAAACCTTTTGGGGATCAATTTTACGTCATAGGTTCTTATAAAAAATATATATTTAGATTAAATTTTTATGATCAAGTGGTAAATGGGGGGTCCACTTGACGTGATCTTACTCATATATCATTAGATCGAATTAAAGATATTTATGAAATATTTTCAAAATAAATAAGAACTAAAAGTTCAGATTTTCACGAAATTATATATTTTGACATGACAATTGTTTCGGCAACACCGTGTCTATCAAATTTGATAAAGACCGTTAGTTTTTGAGTACATTTTCGCAAGACAACAGGAATACATTCACTGACATGACCATCAGAATTGACAAACGTCAAAATTCAAAGCGCGGGAAATAACTCCGAAAACATCCGATTGCTTCCAAACCTGTGCGGTAATATACTGGAAATGTCCGAAGTGGCTCGGATTCGTGGGAAACGAAACAGACGTGGTAAAGTGACGCTTCCCGCAAGCCAGATCGGTATGTAATTAGGTATTTTACAGACGGGAGTAAAAAAAGATTTTTTTCTAGAATCCAAAGGAGTAACTCGTTTTTTTTCAGTTTTTTTTATTTTTTCAATTATGACATGAAGTTGTATACTTTTAAATGGGGCATAATTTTAGGTTATTGCATTGCATCCGTTAAAGGCTTTCAGAATATATATAACGCTTTGTTATTATTTCAGGTCTGTATTCAATATTATAATATTTTAATTAGACTTCTTACGATAAATTATTATTATTATGAATTTTGTTATTAAATATTTTATATAATATTTTATTTAATAACTATATTACACTTTAATTTTACATATTTCACAATTATTAATATTATTATTTTAGTTCATTAATATTAATTGCAATCTGGGTATTCTTATTTTAACTTAAAAAGTTTATTCAAGAAATACTTGTATCCGTGTTATCTATTTTGCTCTCGCAAAATTAGTTTAAATTTAGATTGATTTAAAAATTGTATTTCTTGAAAAAAAAACGTAAATCTAAATATTCAGCTAAAAAACTGCTCAAATTGACTTCCATTTTATTGAATGCAATATTGTCATAATTTTCTTGTTCTGCTTAACAGGACAGGTGCACAAGATCGGTAAACGTTCGTATGTGTTATTGCGTATGGCGATATAAAACTTGTTTAGACAAGTTAGTTAGTTTGACAATGTCATCGAATAAAGTGGTGTCTGATAGAAAAATGCATTAGCTTATGCAAGTTAAAGAAAATAAAGAGTTTCTTTTCGGGGCATTCTCGGATAATCTTTGAAAGGAGGACAAGTGAAGCAATTTAAAGAGCTTCTCTTGCTCAAAGCATATGCTTAATGCATTTGGAGAAAGACTGGACACAAGCGCCGTCTTGTTGAAACCACATCTCCTGGAAATCATGGTTATTCAATTCAGGAATGAAAGAGTTAGTAATTATAGCTCTATACCGATCAGCATTGAGTGTAACGTTCTGGCCATCATCGTTTTTGAAGGAGTACGGACCAATGATTCCAGCCCATAAAGCGCACCAAACAGTCAGTTTTTCTGGATGTAACGGTGTTTCGACATACACTTGAGGATTAGCTTCGCTCCAAATGCGGCAGTTTTGCAACCAGAAGTGCGCTTCATCGCTAAACAAAATTCGCTTATGAAAATCGGGAACAACGGCAATCTCGCTTTGTCCCCATTCGACGAATCTACGCCTCACTTGATGATCGTTTGGCTTCAATTCTTGCACGAGTTGCATTTTGTAAGCACATAAACCAAGATCCTTCCACAAAATCTTCCATAAAGTGGATCATCACAGATCCAAGTCCTGTGCGTCTCTGGGGATGCGAGTTATCAATAAGAGTAAACGTGGTGCGAAAACGTTCCATGGTTAATCGAATTAACTGCTCTGATGGACGATTTTGTCGACGATAAAATGGACGTAGTGCGCGATACGTATTCCGCACAGAACCATTATTTTCGAAATAAAATTGCACTATTTGCAAGCGTTGTTCGGGCGTGAGTCTATTCATGATGAATTGTTAAACCAAACTGAGAATAAATCACTTGACAGCTGTTAAATCGGTGGCCATCTTGAACAGTAATGCCAACTTAAAGTTCTATACATCGAAAAAAAACACCCATTATTAAATATTAACGGAGATACGAGGAGTGTCGCAAATAGTGTAATTTTTAAGGAGTAGCTCAGAAACTCAATGAAATAAGAAAATTCTGTTGGCGCCTCTTTCGTTTCACACCGTCACCAGCAAACCGCAAGCCTGCAGTTTTACTCATAACCGAGATATTCCGCAGTGACAACGAATAGCGGACACACTGTACATATAAATTATAACTAGTCTAGTTCAATATTTCAATTTCAAAAGTGCTACATAGCTGAATTCCAAAATGGCATCCAGAAGTGAGACATCTGTAGAGTTCAATTGATATCCACAAGTTAGTACAAACACGAATCTAGAGCATCCATTGCACAGTCTGTGAGCTTTTAAAATTTGTAAAAAAAAATATGCGTGCATTTATTCAGTCCAATGCAACTTAACTTACTAATGATGACCAAGTTCGTATTAATATTTAAATTTGAATATCAAAATTAAAAATTAATTTAATGTAATCAAATTAAATTACATAATTAGTAAATTTATCACAAACTTGATTTCATTCACAATAAATTTATCACTTCCAGAATGTCATAGTCAACACTAAACAACCATGAGTAGCAAATTTATTGGAATATAAATATATAATTCGTATTTAATTCATTCTTGCAAAACTTTAATGATCAACAAATGATTAACAAAAAATATTTACCATAAGGAGACTGACCGTATTTA